GGATTGAACTCAGGCCCTTGCGCTTGCCAGGGAAGCACTTATTCCCTTGGGCCATCTCCCCAGCCCCTTGCGGTATGACTTTAAAAAAACAAAACAAAACACACTATTATTAAATTCATTTGCCTGTTCCTCGGAAACTTGCTAGATTTAGCTCTAGAAATATTCTGGGAAGATGGCAGATTGGACAGCAAATCAGCCTGAGATTTGGAGTCCAGTTGCTGCAATATAACAAGATGAGGAAGAGAAGAACAAAGGAACACAGATGCAAAAAACCTCAGTAAGATAATGGCAAAGAAAAGACAGCAAATCATTAAGAAGATCATCATGACCAAGTAGAATTCCTCCCAGCAGAGACGTAGAGATGATTCAATATATACAATCACTAAATGTAATACAATATATTAATAGAAACGAGGATAAACTGCACCTGATTATCTCAATAGATGCAGTAAAAGTCTTTGACAAAGTCACGATAAAAAAATTCCTACAGAAAATTGAAATAGATCTTTATCTTACTCTGATAAAAGGGATCTATAACAAATAGCCAAAGTCATAGCAAGTGGACAAAAACTAAAAGCTTTCACTCTAAAAACAGAAATGAGATAAGGATGTCCACTATCACCACTGCTATTCAACTATTCAATATAGTTCTGGAAACTTTAACCAGAGTGATTAGACATGAGGAAGAAATGAAAGGAATAACAATAGGAAAGATAAAAGTGAAATTATCATTATTTGCAGATGACATAATACTCTAATGGAAGAGTCCAAAAAACTCCACCAAAAGACTTCTAGATTTAATAACCAAGTTCAGCACTAGAGCTGGATACAAAGTCAACACTCAAAAATCAACAGCCTTCCTGTACATGAATAACAGACTCACTGAGCAAGAAATTAGGGAAACAATGTAGGGGGTGGTGGCTCTCTCAATTGGATCAATTCTATCCTGGCAAAAGAACCTCTAGTTTAGTCTTCCCCACCCTTGTTAAGATCTTGTAACTCCTTTACTCCTTCCCCACCCTTGTTAAGATCTTGTAGGTATTCAAGCAGAGATGACACAAGGAATGAGGTTGGGGGTGTGCTTCTGATCTGTAAGGATCAGGGAGAGTGTCCGGATGCTGGCCAGACATTTAAGGTCTGTAACCTGGGAAGGGTCCGATGGCCAGCTTTATTAAAAAATTCTGTTTTTTTCCTAATTTTTGGTCTGATGTGGAAATAATTTCACTTATGTTAGACTTTCAGTTAATTTCCAAATACTGTTAGAGTAGTCCTGTGGCTCATATTTAGGTATCCCCCAAAGCTTCATGTGCTTATAAGTGGGACTTTTCAGAGGTAGCTGGATCTTTCGTGTGTGATGCTACTTAGTACACTGATTGGCTTAGCATAGCTTTGGGGATGGACAATGGGAAAGCTCACCTGTGTGTGGGTGGCACCAACCAGTAGCTGTGGCCTGCATGGAATAAAATGGAAAGGGAAGCTGCTGCTTGTTACTTGCTGCCTACCCTGCCATGGATTGTCACGCTCCTTTGCAATGCTGCTCTGCCTTGGAGTCTGCCACCTGGGGCACCATGGTAGGAGGACAGGCAAGAGAAGATGGTGGATGTGGCGGTGTAGCAATAGCAGCAGAACCGCGGTTTACTGCTGGTGGACCTGTGAGTAGACCAAGTAAGGTGGTAGAGACAAAGCAGTAGTGATACGTAGGATTCTAAGATGGAGGACGAGGCTGTCGGGCAGGTTCCTAGGGGCAAGAGTGCTAATTTGGGCAGACTGCACCTGAGAAGACAAGTTGCCATTCAAGTAGAGATGCTGGGAGGCATCTGGTGTAGGACTGTGATGCTCAGAGAAGAAAAAAAAAAGGACTCCCTGTGGGAGTCAGAGGAAATGTATTATTTTCCGCTTTACTGGTTAATGAAATAGAAAAGTCTAGAAACGTGATTATGTTAATTTTTTTCCTACATGATAAAGTAGTATGTCTTCTATGCTATTACTACAGTCAGCTAAGATAGTTAAAAATATCATAGGCTGTCAAACAAGGCTGGGCCTACAAAAGAGCAAGTACAAAGCATGAAAATATAATGGTGAGTAGAGACACATTTGTTAGAGGCCTGTTATGGTTTGTGTCTAGCTATCCCTCCAAAGCCTGATGTCATTTGGGTAGGCTTCTACAGTTTGTGATGAATTCATGATCCAGTGCTGGGATAGTGGGTATAAGTGCTACACCCACAGACAGCCTGAATGCTGTTGAAGGAAGGGAGAGGTGTGTTCTGTGCTACTGCTCCTTCCTTTTGCTCTTGCTGTTTTGCTGATTTCTGCCACCATGAGCTGCTGCCCTCTGCCATGTGCCGCTCTGCCTTGGAGCCAGGTAAGTACAGACTGAAACCTCTACAGACTGTGAGCTAAATAAACTTTCCTTCCTTGATTTTGGGTGTTGGGCATTTTGTCCTAGTGTCTCAGTTACTGTTCTTTCGTTGTTGAGACAAATACCTAACACTAAAATTAGGGAAGGAAAGGTTTATTTATATTTACCTCACAGTTACTGCAGGTTTCAGTCCATACTCAGCTAGCTCCAAGGCAGAGCAACACATAGCAGAGAGCAACATTTCATGGCAGCAGCAAGAGCAGAGGAGTAGCAACAACAATGGTTATAGAGAGCAACTCCGTCTCCCTAAAGTTGCATTCAGGCTATACACCCCAGACTGGGTATAGTGCTGACACTCATAATCCCAGCGGCACTCATATCCATAATCCCAGTGGATCAAGATCACAAACTCTAGAAGTCCAATCCATGACTGCATGAGGCTTTAGGGGGACAAGTAGATACAAACCTTAACACCCAGCAACAAGAGAAAAGTAACCGAGTCAAGGCCAGAACTCAAAAATAAAGTAGCTACATCTACATATGTCCCTTAGAAATAAACACCAATGGTTAATATTCTAACAAACATCAGTCACCTGAGTGAGGGGCAAGAGTCCCTGAGCATGCATGCCTAAAAAAGGTCCTTGTTCTTTCCATACGCACTTGCTATGTGACTTGCTTCTGCATTAGATCAGCATTTCCTAAGCAACTATACTTAATAATCTTATTAGTTGATCATAGTTTTGCCCCACCTTTACCCACATCCTGATTTTGCTCCATAAAGCTTCCACTAAAAAGTGGCCTCTTTGGCCATGTAATGAGTCAACTCACATTTTAGATTATAAATATAAATCTTGTGCTTTCTGTTGTAAATGTATACTCACCACTGTTCTAAGTTGTTTAGTAAATAGT